GCCTTAGAAAAAATACAGGGTTAATTTTAAAAATATAGGCAAAAGCGAAACAAAAATATACCTGAGAATCCAGGGGTGTGTGCAGCAAGCTTTCGCGATAATTTTACTTTGTCCAAAGATGTTTTCAATGGACCCAAATGTACCCGAAAAATAGATGCACGGCCCTGAAAATGACAATGTATGAATTTTTGAATTGATGTTGACACACAATTCAGTTTACCTTGATATCAGGGACCGGTACATAAATTTGCCGATCAAAACGACCAGGTCGTAACAAAGCGGGATCTAGGATATCTACTCGATTCGTTGCAGCAATCACAATCACAGATGACTCTTCGGTTGAGAAACCTTGATATGACATATAATTACTCCATGAAGGCTTTCAAGAAGATGACAATAAAGTTCGACTGAAAAGTTAAAGAAGACGAGAACAGAAATTCTTTGCTAACCATCCATCTCTACAAGCAATTGATTCAATGTGTTCTCCTGTTCAGAGTGACCTCCCATTCCACCCTTTCCGCCTCTTTTTCGACCAACAGCATCAATCTCATCAATGAAAAGAATACATGGACTGTTTTTTCTTGCCATAGCAAACATGTCGCGAACACGAGCGGGACCAACACCAACAAACATCTAGAATGAGCATTTTGCAAGCAGCAAGATGGTGTAAAGTGAAGCGAAGCAACCTCAAGGAATTCTGATCCGGACACGGTGATGAAGGGAACATTTGCCTCACCAGCGGTTGCTTTAGCGAGAAGAGTTTTACCAGTACCAGGTGGACCAGTTAGTATTGCACCCTGGCACGAGTAAATGATAAACTAGGAAACTAGCCTGCCTTCAAAAAACTTGAAATCTCACTTTCGGAATTTTTGCACCAAGATCTTTGTATTGTTGGGGATTTTTGAGGAAGTTCACAAATTCCATAATTTCTATTTTGGCTTCTTCACATCCAGCAACATCTTTGAATGCAACCTTAACAAGAAATATAAACCGAAGTCGATAGCACCAACTGTTTGAGATAAGAAAGTTTGGACTTTTTTTTAAACCTTGATATCTTCCTTGTTGATAATTCTTGCAGTACTTTGTCCAAATCCACCGAACATACCACCTAGGCCGCCTCCACCACCTGCTCGTCCGGTGCCTAAGAGCAGTATTTACACCTACTTTAATCTCCATTTATATACACAGTAATGCATTA